CGAGAATGATCGAGTTCAGCTTTTCCCCGTTCGAAGGTAAGTAATGTCTCAAAGCATTGCCTCTTGGGCTCCATGAGATCATGAACTGTGGGCTGGCCATCGCCCTCATCGTAAATCTGACGTAGCAGACCAGTGGGCATTTCGACAGCAAGGACCGGTGGGATGGATTTGAGGACTAGAATACCATTAAATGACACCATCCTCTCATCCGGCTCGATCATGGACACCTTCATTTTGTCGTAATCTCAGACTGCCAAGAAACGTCTCCAGGTGAACGCCTCTTCTTCATGTGACATATAACGTGGGAATCGCATATCCACTACTATTCATCTGGCCTTGACATCTAAACCAACCCCCTTTAAATGTAGCGTAAGACCACTAGAAATTGGGGTTGGTTCACATTTCGTTTCCCTACCTGAAGTCACATTTTATAAAATGGTTACATGAAAGTTTTTTTTACATATTTCGCCCTCCCCAGTCTCTTTGGGAGGAAAAAGTGTGGTAGCAATTTTGAAAATTTCTGGGGATATCATCTTATGCGAACAATTTTTAACGACTTGTTTGCATGGAATTCTACATTTCATGCAGAAATAAGCACCTCAAAAGTATGTTTTTCACATACGTACGTATTTCGTTAAGTTTTGACCAAAATATTCCTTCTATGAAAGGCATTCTGCGCATGCATTCAGTACCGCTTAATCAAGATGGAAAAGATCCATTGAAAGACATATGCTAACTTCGACTCCAACATACATACCTACCCCAATTGTCGTTTGAATTTATTTGTCACCTTACATGTCTAAGTAGCCTACCAGTAAGCCGACAGCTTCAAAAGGATCCTCTTGTAGGATAATTTATTTTAAGCGAAGGACTGGACCATCGGTTTGCCAGGGCGTGAATAAATGGTCAAATTCTGCATGAATACCACACTACAATACAGTAAGTGGGCAAACTCATGAAATGTCAACAGAAATTGGTAACAATCGGGAGATGACACCCAAAAAAATCCGCCTAACCAAACAGCCTGTCTTACGGAACAGGTGGTAATAGGGGTTTTATGGGTGGTGTCTAGTCGGGATGTACGATACTAGCCGACGGAAAGCCTTATTCGAAAAGATGAATGATCGAAGTTGGCCCGCTCTCCGTTCCGTTATTACAAAATGGGCCACCAAAGGCAGTATTGTGGTAACGGACGAGTGGAAGGCGTATAATCGTCTTCCCTTAGAAGGTTATCTATATTTCTCTGTTAACCACTCAAAGAACTTCAAGGACCCTACCACCGGACGGCACACCAATGCCATTGAAGCATACTGGAGTCGATTGAAAAGGAAACTCCACGAGGGAGGCCCTGTCTGCGGTCAAGCTGTGTGGGCTCACATAGACGAAGTACAGTATCGTCTTTTGTTTGGCCTCAATGCCAAGTCTTTGACAGATGCCTGGGAACCGTTCCTGTCCCATGTTGTGCAGACTTATCCTATTTAAAGTGATTTTGTTTTGTAATAAACTGCCATAATGTGAATGTATGCCGTATATTCAGCTGTACGTCTATAACAATGGGGAAGGTTGGGTAACAGCGACTATCGTCAATGTAACCTCCTGCGATGTTCGTTCGGCCAGCCCATGTTAGGCTGTCGGGGAAAGTCGAAGTAGTGCGTGAAAGTAGGTCTGCAAATGCTGATATAGCCTGAAGGCGTTTGAGTCTACTGTTAAAGCTATTATTTCTAGGTAACGGATTTTTTTGGGGGCCATCTCCCGATTGTTACCAAAAGTGCGAGAGAACTTTGTACGAATGTGTGTATATCTTCTTATTGCCAGGTATTTTAAAGCAGGCCTTGAATTATGCAACGTTATCTATCGCACTGACCACGTTCCACGTGCCAGAGGAGGTTGCCACAACCAGAATGTTATGAGCCGCTGGAAAGACCTCTTCCTAAGCATATGAATCAATATATGGGTTTGATTTAAAGCAAATATGTATCGGAAATTTTTTTAAACCTTCAAAACTAGCCAGGATTGAGTTGAACAAGCTACTTTTTGAAAAAAACGAAATGGTCAGTTTCCCCAAGTGTAAGAATGAGCATGCACATTTTGGCAACTGGGGGCAGGAAACGACTACGAATTTCGCAAACACATTCAGTGAGTGACCGATCTCATGAAATGTTGGCCGAAATTCTGAAATGCGTCCTCGAGTACGAAAGATTACTTAGGTGGGGTTGTAATATTGATTATCACGCGGCATTATCCTATGGTATTGCGGACTCACTAGGATGGCGGCTTTTGAATGCGCTTCTTTTCGACCTCCTGCAGAAATCACACTTGGTAGCGTGCCGTTATCCGGGCCGAGGATCGGTTGTAAGCAGGACTCGTACCTAGCACAGAACACAGTACCATTTTTAGGAGACATGGCGGGGTACATGGCGTGGGATGCGAAAACGGCATAGGTTGGATAGTGGCCAATCAGAACCTAGGAGTTCTAATCAGGCGTCCGTGACCTTGAGCGTGCAATTGCCACGCCTAAGGCGCGTGACGCCTACAACTCAATACCTGCAGAATACAGTCCATTCTGCTGACCTAGCCGAACCAATCAAACTTTGAGATGACTACACGCGCTCACAAGCTTCGGGACCGTTCATGGGCATGTGGTTAGGCAGTACGGGGAAGGATTGGGGGAAACACCAAAGGCTCTGATGGACGGTTAACAAGGGTCAGAGGGTGTGTTAAGTTGCATCCGAAGTCCTTACAACCGTCGACTTTGCCGGTACGCAACCAAGTCAGGAGCAGAGTTCCGTATGAGCGATCGGTGAACGCCCCTCTACCATACCAGAAAGAGAGTCGTTCTGCCTCTGACCAAGGCTCCGCTAGTTAACATATCAGTTTTCTTTCCTCACACCACGTACTACGAAGGATACCATTATCTCATTCACCGTAATCGTGATTCGATGCAGTCTGTTTCGGAACATTATGAAATTCTCAGTTGAGTTTTTATAATTCCTCTTCAGCGTATGGAGTCTGCAAAATAGCTATTTGTAACTTTTGCATTTAGGCGCACTTGTTAGGGGAACTATAGATCACAGTGGAATGTCATTTTTGTAGACTTTGGAAAGTCTGATGTTTGCGCTTTACTTTTTTGGAAGGACATTATTATGCCTTTTTCGAATATTTGCTTGCATAAATTAGCGCGTGTTATTGTATGTATCTTATAAATTCGTTATATATTTCTCTTGATGCATTATGTCCTCGATTAATAATGCCGCGAAATTGCTGTGACTCTAACCGAAATTCTAAATTGTACTGTCGAACGAGACCATCTGACTAAGTGATGATCCCCCTTGACATACAAAATCCTTCTCAGATATTTAGAACACAACAATTAAATTTTGTTTTTCGAACTCGCCTCTACCGTAGGGCAAATTTTTGTTCATCCTTCCTCGCGTTTAACTGAGTAATGCTCATCTACTAGACCGCTTCTTCTGAAATATGACCCTGCCTCCTCGAATTGATTTTGCCAACCTCGGATCCGCGAGCATTACAAGTTCAGAGCGTCGGCCATAATCAAACATTATTCAGGTTGCCGGTAGATACTTACACCTACTCCCTGATTGGTCGTCAAAAAGGTTATGGATGTGACGGCGATGTTTGCCGCCAACTCATGAAACAGTCTTCAAGTGCACGCTTCAGTTCACGTAAATTTAACCCAGATTCTCAAAGAAGACCTTGGAGTTCAGGGTCGGCAGAATTCAAATAGATCAGTCCGTCACATTTAAGACAGGCACGAAGTGGATGATTTGGAGAGAACACCGGACCCCGAAACTTGCCTTTCAGACACTGAGGGCAAAGCGACTAGGTGCTGGCAATTTGAGGAAACGATTGTGCGCAACGTATCACGGACAAAAGTCGAAATCCCCCTCACACAGTAGTATCTGCTAGTCGCGTGCCTACTGCAGAATCTAAATGCAATTTTTGACAAGCACCGATGTTTCAGATAGACAAAGTGAACACAAGACTAAGGAACTAGATGAAGTTTATTCATTTTAAATACTTAGACCGGAATATTACTCGGGAAGGCATATATCGAGCAAACTCATTCAGCCTTGAGGTTGTTGATGTAGTCAGCAAGGCGCTTGCGCAGTCTCTGGCGAACTAAAATTAATTGAATGATTTGGTAATATAATCATAATGGCATACTTTCACGGAGGATTTCCTTGCCCTTCACGATGTGCTGAGCGATCTTCTGTCCGAGGGGGTTGTTGTCGAAGTAGTCCTCAAGTGCGGCAATCGCGGCCACTCGACGTGCACGCAGGGCGCGGATGGGGTTGGTCTGGTGCATCAGCGGGATCTCTGCGTTAGCATATGCTCAGATTTGGGGGTTTTTAAATCATCTTCCTTCTCCCCAAACAGTTGCTATTCCAAAGAATTACCGGTGTCCCGTTAGCTGGTTATACACACAACCGGCCCGCTTAAAAACTTATCTTTCCAACTGCCAGCAACAGGAAGGCTAATAATGCCAGCAGATAAACCAAAAGTGCTTTCATGTTATCTGACTCTGGTTCGCATGCCACATTCCACTGTCCACGCCTACGCTAATGCTTGCTGGACGTAGCAGCATCTGGGGGTTGGAGGTGACAGACAAGCGTCTTCGACCCAGAAGCAGCTCAGGTGGTCACGGAGATATCTGACGCATGCTGACAATCTCTATGCCTGACCTGATCGAACCAATCACACTTTTAGATGACTACATGTACTCACAAGCTTAGGGATTGTTCATGGGCATGTGGTTAGGCAGTTGCAGTGTCGACTTACCTCTCTAAAGGAGAAAGAACGAGGGGTTAGATGAGGGCTTTTCAAAAGGCAGGACTTACTCCTCAGCCATGGCAACCACGGCGACAGCCAGAAGGGTAAGAATGAGCATGCGCATCTTGGAGGCAGGCGGTGACTTCGAATTCGGCCATGTTCGCAGCCACTTATATATGCGGTGGATGTCGGGGGTGTACCATTAGTTGATGTGTGCACTGAACAACCCATTGGTCGGGCTGCACGCTGACTTCCGGCCTACGCAACTTCGCGAACTCCACCGCCGATCTTCCAGTCGTATAAATGTGGTGGCCGTGCGTCGGTTTGTGGCCGGAAGCTGTTCGCGTTGCAATGAAGACCTGCGTCTTGGTGCTCCTGGCCGTTCTGGCTATCGTCGTGGCTGCCGAGGAGTAGGTTTTAACTTTGACGGTTGTCATCTAACCACCTTTTCTTTCCGTCTAGTGAGGTAGGTCTGGATACGTTCTTGGGCTGATGAAGGCACAGCCGGACTTTTCTACAAATCAATGAAATTCCCATAAAGTTTTCGTGGTTATCTTGACTGACAGCTGTCCTTTGTGTCATTTCGTTTGTTTATCGCACCCTAGAAACCCTCTGAGAGCCTCAGAGTACGACTGATGAAGAGAATCCTCGCTGTGCAGAGGTTCTTCAAGGAGGATCCCCTTGGCAAGGACATTGTGGCACAACTGGAGGACCTAGTGTCTATCATGGGACAAAGTAAGTGCACTGAGTTATTCAACCTCGTGGCAAGATGCTACTACTTGAGACGAAGTGCACGTATTTTATGCAATTTGTTGTTTTCCTCATTGCAGTGAGACAACGCTTTCGCTATCTCCTGGCCAATTACTTGAAGAATCTGGAGGAATAGGCAACGGCCACCTCTGAGATTTGCGCTGGTTTTTCTCACTTAGACGACACGTAAATTATAACATTCTTACCTTCCAGACATCTTTTTTGATTTATTTGCTCTACATCGTGTGGGGTTGTGTTGGAAATGCTCTTTATCGGTCACTGACCCTGGTGGGTTTCGTGAAACACCATTTCGCAGAGTGGCAAGTAAGGTATGCGGTATATCATCAGTCTACAATCTAGTTGGTGGAGCTCCGAAACGTGCAGAAAAGGGGTGAGTAGGTGGGAATTCAGTCCCCTTGATTAGCGCCTCAAACGCGTGTAAACCTTCCGTCTCTGGCAGTCAAACCTCGCTAGGGGCCATGCGATCACGGTTCCCAATCGGCCGAAACGTACGTACCTGGCGCCTCGGGGACGCCCAATCACAGGCGTCCTCAAAATCCACAAGCAGTCAGTCAACTGAGGAAACCTACGCCGACCGACTCTCACATTACCCGTACATTCATGCCCACATCACCCCAGCCCGGAATCCGTCGCGAGTGCGGGGGCGCTTTCAACCACAGCCTTTCTGTACAGAACACTCTACTCCAGGTGGCTTTCCATTTCTCCTCTAACACGGGACTGGACCGCGCTTACTGTGGTGCTGTGAATACATTCACTACTTAGACGCCACGTAAGGTGCCAGAGAGTTAGATCTGTATGCGGACGTGCAAGTGACGTGAATGTGACGAGCAGGTTGCAATTAGCGTGATTCGTGGGACACACGTTATACGCTAGTCATATACAGTTAGTGGCCTTACTCATGAAATGTGTCGAAATTTACGAATTATTGCCAATCACTCGCAAACCGACACCATTTCATGGGTCCGATGTCTATTTTAATTAGGTACACGTTTAAAAGAATTAGAAGCGTAAAAGAAATATTAAATGCAGTGTTGCGTTGTTTAGAAATGCCGATTTATTTTGAAAAGCGCAATATCCCGAAAACGTCAGAAATGGCTCTTATTAAGTAAAGTTCGTTTTTAGATGTATAGAACGTATTCTCATACCAAGAACGTAGTAACTATGAAAAGAGACATAAAATAACGTCTAATAACAGTGTTTTAGTGAAGTTTACATATAAATATCGTTTACTAAGTAGTGTGATTTAGTATCTGACGGTTTGTCAACTGCCTACATTCTGACGGTAGATTCCAAAACAGTTTTCCAGTGATTCCTGTTTTATTTCTCTGAAGTAAATGAGATGGGGTTCAACAAGAAAAACTGGATGTCGCTTGATTTCACCGATGGGGACGTCGTAGGAACAACAGTTTTCATAAGGTGACATGCCATGAGGCCGGTCGGTTCCTAAAATATTTAAATAGAACTGACAGGCGTGATCGTAAGCATACCATTTTGTGTTTACAGAAAAAACTTGTCGTCCGTTGAATTAATTTACACTTCTAGTTCGTTTTTGATTACGTTGAATTTCAGATCGTCCTCGAAATGTTGCTTAATAGTTCATGATTTTCAGTGTTTTCACCCGATCTTCCAAACAGACAGATTTGGAATCATCTGTCTGTTGAGAACTTTAAAATAAGATTATTCTTGAAGGCATTTACCGAATTAATGAGTGTTCGGGGCTCCTTTCCACGAAGCTGGTCGCTTGGGTCATATGTGAAGACTCATTCAAAGATCAACCTTCATTTTCGAGAAAAATGGCTCTCCACAACGAAAGTCAGCAACGAATACGTCTTTAATCAATAAGAAAACTTTTCTTAATAAGTTACCTCTTTAGCAAGTGCTTTATTACTACACTCCGTTGACGGATCTCTGTGTACTTTGCATTTTTGCGCGGCGAGGCGAAGTAAGAATTTGACACTTTTGGCCGTTTCTTTCGCGTTCCTGAGAAATACTAATAATTTTTCTAACGTGAACGTAAGAACGTGCTTTTTTCTATATATTGAGGCCATTTCCACTGTTTTGCTCGCTTTTAGACTCCGTTCTTCGACTAGGAATGCACCGCAGAGCGCCCATAAAAATACGGATATTCTGCCGAAAATATTAATGTTTTGATCGTCCTATTTCTGAATAAGGTATGCACCGAAACTAAAATACACGACAAGTGGTGTTTCATATGTTCAGAACTGGAAGTGACCATTCCGTGGTGGCCATCTATGTGACATCAGGTAGAATTTTCCAAACGGCAAAAAAATTTCAACCCACTTCAACGAAGGAATCCCTATAAGCGTTATTACTGCACTTTATGGCACCAAATCTCACAGATCTGCTAATTTGACATTTAGGAATTGATAAAACCTCTGGTTTTCTTTAAATAACCTGTGCCTTAGCAGATTGATCACCATGGTTAACATTGGACATAAAATAAATAGTCAAATTCGGCTAGATCTGTTTGTTAAAACTCTCGCGGGTAAATTACTATTCTTTCAATGAAGAAGTCGCTCAGATGCGCAACCGGAGTCTATGACATGTACTAGCGTAGGAAATTACACGAATATATTCTAACGTCCATTTACGCTAAAATTTACTGATATTTTACTTGATATATTTATGAAAACACAATTTCTGCACAAGAGAAGGACATTTTATTGAAGGAAGTGGACGTGCGAACAAAATGCTCAACATTAAAAGCGTCCAGAAGTTCTCTCATCAGTTTCGGTTATCGGATTTCATGAGATAGGTCAGGTACTGTACTTAGCTGAACCCAGAATCATTGTTCTGTGAGCCCGTAACGGATCATAGGTGGGGGCTGTCGGGCTTGAATATGAAGATGCATTTTAAACATTTATTTGACCCGTGAGTTGGGTTATGCATAAATACGATCCAAAGACCGACGTAGGACTTAGGTTGCGCAATCACAAACCATTAAGAAACTCGCCCGAACCGTGCTGGACGATGGCGTTTATGATGCGCAAAGCATCGTATTAAAGAGAGCAGAGGTTCTGTATTGGCGAATTCCTTTTTGGCTTAACATAAACAAACGAACAGTTAGTGAAATTAAGCTAAACATGTGCTTTTCAGACTACGTCACATGGGGTTTGGACAGAGCGAAAATATGGCAGTGTGCAAACGTGATTATGATAGTTAGGTGATTGAACAGCGAAGCTAAATAAGCCTCGAGGAATTCTAATGATAGCGGCGTCCCAAGCAGACTGCAGAAGAGCCTCCTAAAAACGACAACATATATATTTGAGGTCAAAAAACCTAGGGTTTCTGACAGAGGTTCTACCCTTGTTAGGCCATTCGTCTGTATAAGTGAAGAAGAAGAGTCCAGCACCGGAAAACTTCGTTTATTGTCCGGTGCTTTCAGACTCGTGCAGGAGTCCTTTGTCAGAGATAGTAGCGGCAACAGAACAAGCGACAGTTAAAGGGCATGTAGGCCAATCATCGACCGACGGCGCAAAACTGGAGGTGACTACGCAGGGCTCTGTACGCCGGCGCCAGATCGATAAATCGATTGACCGAGCTCTCAACCGAGTCACAGGCTTCAATCATGCCTTATAACTGTCACGTGTTCTGCTGCTGCTGCTGCTACTACCTCTGACGCTGGACACCTGCACGAGTCTGAAAGCTCAGGACAAAAAAACGAAGTGTTCCGGTGCTCGACACTTGTTCTTCACTTATGCATACATCGGGAACTAGAAATTTCGCCTTCACCCGTCTGTGTTCGATATTTATCTTATGCCATGCTCTATCGGTACTTGACACCGTTTGGGACCGAATTCTGTGGCATTCACTGCACGTCATTTTATGACTGCATACTTGTCCCCTGTAAACACTGTTTCAGTCTAGACATAGTAATCCACATATCTAGTCAAACATTTGACCACGCCCAACTGGATCTCTGGCAATTTCGTCGTACAGCCTACAGTAGTGGAAGGCCCACGACATGCGCATCACATTAAGAATTTCCGGGATTCACCTCATCGTCTGGCTGGTGTCAGGGACATAGATAAGAAGGTAGCCCATCTGTTGATGGATTTGCAGGTTAGTGCGGGGCTTCTTTTTCTGTTCTTCGATTCACTTTACCAAAATGATAGTTACGGGTCGATTGTTTTCCCATGAGTCGCAGTTCGATCTTGAAGCCGTTAAATTCAGTACACAAACGAGGGATTCACATAAAGGTGAACCTGTCACCTCCTCGTCTAAAGCATCCTGTCCTCCGTACAAATAAAAACCACTTTACCTATGCAGCAGGAAGTATTTGCACCAACTGAGCAGCCTTCAGCAACCTCCCGTTAGTTCATGGCATGCATAAATGTCAAATGATGTTTGCGAATTCACGAGTGGGTGTCACTGAAATGTATGCAAAAGGAAAGACTGATTGGAGGCGGGATGTGAACTGAGCACAGAGCACCACAATACTTCTACTACTACTACTACTACTATCGCTACTACTACTACTAATACTAATACTATGACTACTACTACTACTAATACTACTGCTACTACCACTACTAATATCACTACTACTACTACTATTACTAATACTACTACCACTACTACTATTACTAATACTACTACTACTACTAATACTACTACCACTACTACTATCACTAATACTACTGCAACTAATACTGATACTAATACTGACGACAGCGGAAACCGTGTATTCTGGCTAGAAACCCCGTGGTTTTCAGATCCTCCGACCCGCTGCCGGTTGTCTGATAGGTTAACGTCTAATAATTCGCGAGTGGTTTAATTAAATATGAGCGAAGTACATCTCAGATGTTGCCGTCAACCAGTCATCTAGGTTTTTCAAGTAGTTGGCCAAGCCGCGGCGGAGGCGTTTTTGTGGGATTTTTCAAGTACCGAGCGTTGCCGGTAGTGGTTTCACCCTTGTAAGCCAATATAATGATATTTGAGGTATACTTTGTGCTACATCTTCAAATCATGCGTTCGGAATTCGGCTACCGCTCTCTCAATACTTGACACCGCTTAGGACAGACTCTGCGGCCCTTAATACTCGTCTTTAGATTATTATCGACTTTTCCGTTATAAGCAGTGCTTCTTTCTAGGCAACATAGTCCCCGCATCAGACCACAAATCTGATCACGCACAATTGGATATCTGACAGTTCCATCGCCGCGGCCCAAAGTAGGCGAAGGCACAAGATATGCCTACCACACAAAGAATGCCCAAGACTCATCGCATCGGCTGTCTGAGTTCAGGAGACACAGATGAGAATGAAAGACCCTTGCCGAATAATGTGCAATGTAGTATATAATTTCTCTTTCTGTGCTGCGAGTCACCTCATTAGAATGACAATTACTAGCCGATTGCTTCATCATGAGTCTCAGTTCGATCTTGAAGTCATTGAATTCAGTACACAAAGGAGGGATTCACATGGAGGGGACGTGGCACGACCTTCTTTAATGCATTCTCTTGTAAGCACGTGCCTCCATCCAGCAAACACAGCTGGATTATCTAACGCCAACAATTTTATCGAGCACGTTTTGATTGTCCCCCGTCGCTTCACGACACAAATAAAGCGTGTATGATGTTTACGATTTGATTGGCAGACGACACTTTTACGTATTTAGAAGACGAGGTGGCGAGCATACGTAGCTTTCGATAAATTCTTGTCGGGCCAGTACAGTTATATGAGAACGGGGTAGAAGAAAAACATGTCAGCGATAAGAAAAATCGATAAAAGTTCTCCACAGGCGGGGTGTG